GTAGGCCCTATAACCTAGAAAATTAAGAATTTGTAAGTAAATGATTTCGTATTTTAGTTAGCATTATAATTTTATTGAAACGCTTCAGTGCCTGTGTCTTAGTATAGGGGTATCTTAAACCTAGCAAAGAGCGTTTCTCCTGAGTGCAGTATAGTAGTAGTAGTAAAGTACTACGTTACTAGTTTAATTAGTAAGTACTTATTTATACTATTAACCATTAGCTCCCTGCCGTCCTGGGTAGTTACTATACTATTATGTACTCAAGTAGTGCTGGTAACGTTAGTAGTACTACGCTACTTGTAAGTAGTACTTAATTACTAGTAATTGTATTGTAACATAGTACTTTGTAGTAATGGGAAGTATCGTAGGTGTGGAATGTAACCATAAGTCTAAAGTTAAATAGGCCGGCCCGAAGCACCCCGAACCCGAAAAATGCCTAAGCAATGCCTATCCTTATCAAGGCCTGGCCCTGTTGCCCTATATATCGCATCCTCTAAACCTCAGGCCAGTCAAGCTACCGCCATAACGCTATACTTCGTTACAATTGTCAATCTAAAACCGTTATTATAAGCGAAAGAAAGGGCCGCTAGTAGTGACAAGCAAATTGGGAGCTTTCTTTAGGCCGTCTCTACCTAACTGGTTAGTGCGAGCCCTCGTGCATGGGCATGCAGCAATGCCGGATGAGCAAGCCGAAAAGCCCGCTTTTAACTAACCTAAAGGAACGGTGCGTAGTACTGGCGTTGGGAGAAAGGCAGCGAATTGCTAAGAGTGCGCCGCAGGGCGGCACGTTTGAAGCGCTTCGCGCGGATTATCCGGCTGCAGATCGTCTAGCGTGATTCACGAGAGCAGAATGTTGGGCGTGTACCTCAGACAGCTGACCTGACTCTCGTCTCTGTGGTTACGATGTATAACGCATACAACGCGCGGCCAACGAAAATTAACACATTTTGACGTAAATGATGAAACCCCCGGGAAAGGGTTCAGTTGAAACAAAGAACAAGAAAAAGAAATAAATTATACAAGTCGGATGAATGGATGAGGTTCTTAGGCAGCGATTTCGTTTGATTTTCGCCAGTTGAGCCTTTGAACGTTAATGTTTATATAAGGTTGAAAATAAATTGGTAAAAAAAACAATATTGGCTTGAATTTAAAAAACAGTTATTTATTAGATGAAGGATGTGACAAAAGACAAATTAGGCAAATCTCCTCTGACATAATTATTGCACACGTTATCTCTCTTTCGCTCCGTTCGCTTGTTCGCGCTTTTTTTTTTTCCTTTCTCTCTCTCCTCTCTCTCTCCTCTCTCTTTTTCTCTCTCTACCCAAATTAGTTATCCTAGTCACCTCTAGCTTGTCGCGCACAATATTATATACAGTATATTTACATGATGCGCCTCTTTCTTCATAATATGTTTGAAGTTGCCAATTTTTACGATGAATATTATCATGACGATTAGTTCAGCCATTGAATGGCGGCTACGCGTTGTGTTTGCTTGCTTCTCATCACCTTTCCTACCGCGGGTTCTTATTGACGTATTTTCGGCCTATTGCTTGCGCAAAGTTGCCATGCTTTCCTAACACTTTACCCTAGGTAAAGTACCAGAGGATTGTGTTAGCCGGCATGAATGGCACGCTCTTAGTCTCTTCGATGATTCTACTTCAACGACGACGTTCGTAGCGGTAACAGCGGCGGTTTGCTTTCTTTTTTCTTTCGCGAAAACAGGGCCGTTGTAGCTGATTTTCGTTGTTCATCGGAGGTCCGTCCAATAGGAAGTCGAGTAGCACAAGATGCCTTGAACACGGCGCAATCTATTGGGCAGCTTCTTGATCGGTCCCCTTATCTCGAGCGTTAGGAAACGCGCTGTCATAAAAAAGTTATTCGCGTTATTACTATAAAGATGGTTAAGTCACAACTGTTATACGTGTTTCTATCGTACAATAAGTTCTTCAAATTAGAAATTACATGAATGAAGTCTTATGTACCTTTCCATCGGCTCGCACGCCCTCGTTTGTACTTGCAAAGTTTGCGATGGCTCATAATCTAACTCGTTTAGCTTCAGCCAAGGGTTCACACAAATCTCTACTGGCGTTGGTATCCATCTGTCTCCTCTGCAGACGCTAGACAAGCAATTAATATTAATTAATATTAAGATTATTAGGTCAAACAAATCAATTTTTTGTCTCATGGGCGCAGAAATAATAATATACTCTAGATCAATACTCGTAGGGTTTTTTCCAAAAAAAAACTTAAATATATTAAGCGAAACACTTTGTGCCTTAACGTACTTGGTGGCACATGTGACGTTTGGTGGCACTTAGCAGATCTTTGAATGATAGTAGCTCCATCGATATCCTCCCATAGGGATTTAGTATAAATATTCGGTTTTAACTGCTGTGGCTTCTTGGATGATTTTACTCTCCAGGCAACATCCTTGGGCCGCGCGTGGAGGTATGCTCACTCGTCAACTCCGGTGTAACGCTGCTGTCTGTCATTGGGTAATCGGTTAGAGTCAGGCGAAATTGTCTGTTTTGATTGATTTTAGTATCCATTGATGATATGATCGCTCTCCTAGCACCGCGCAATTCTACAATCCATAGTCCGTCTTTCGCTAGTACTTGGCAAGTTGTCGCACATGTTTCTCTGTTACAGCTGCAGTACGAATTGCCTGCTTCATTGGAGCAGTAATACTTAATGATTTCATCATCTCATCGGCATCATTAGTGTCAGGGATACTGGTATTCTCATTCCTAACTCCGGCAGCTTGCATCTATGTTGTTCCTTCTCAGCTACCTGTTGAGACGACCTCTTCAACAGCTTTTCAGAAAGAATTTGCCCCTCATTCGTGCAGTAATGTCAAATGATTCTATCATATCATTCTGCATCGTTAATGTCAGGCATACAAAAGTAGTGACCTTGCCATTTTAATCTCTGCCGCGTAGTAACTTAGGCGCAAGCACGTGTCGTCTGACCATCCGTTAATTCGTGATTGGTTTGTCAGGTACACTAGTGCTCTATTCCACTTTCAGAAAGAATTGCCTGCTTCATTTCGTGCAGTAATGTCGAAATGATTCTATCATATCATCGGCATCGTTAATCTCAGGCATACAAAGTGTGACCCTTGCTGTTTAATCCGTTGGCGCTTAGTATTCGTATGACCAAGTACTGTCTCTGCCCAACACTACTGTTTGGGAACTTGGCAGGTGTATTTGTTATCTTTCAGCTAGAGGTTGAAACAGACTTGCCATGTTTTTTCTTTAAGCCTAGTGACCCTTGCCGATTTATTCCTTTGGCGCTTAGTGTTTGTATGACCAAGTACGGTTGTATTCTCATCAATAATAATTGGGAAGCTGGTAGGTGTATTGTTGTCCTCAGCTAGAGGTTGAGACAGACTTGCCTGTTCTCCAAGCGTAGTGACCCTTGCCGATTTATTCCTTTGGCGCTTAGTGTTCGTATGACCAAGTATTGTTGTCTTTTCATCATTAATAATTGGGAAGCTGGCAGGTGTATTGTTGTCCTCAGCTAGAGGTTGAGACAGACTTGCCTGTTCTCCAAGCGTAGTGACCCTGGCTGATTTAATAATTTGCTGCTTAGTATACTTAGCACTAACTACTTTCGTCTGACCATCACTAATATTCCGGATGCTAATAGGTGCCTGGTTGTTCTCAGCTCGAGGTTGAGATAACATTGTGAGTTCTCCAAGTGTAGTAACTCTTGCTGATTTAATACTTTGTCTCTTAGTATTCTTATGGCTATGTACTATCTTCTGCCCAGCATTACTATTTGGGAAGCTGGCAGGTATATTGTTGTTCTCAGTTAGAGGTTCAAGCGACATTGTCTGTTTCCCAAGAGTAGTGACCTTTGCTGATTTTATTCTTTGTCCCTTTGTATTCTTATGGCCATGTACTGTCTTCTGCCCAACATTACTAGTTGGGAAGCTGGCAGGTGTATTGTTGTTCTCAGTTGGCGGTTGAGACGAAAATCTCTGTTCTCCAAGCTTAGTGACCTTTGCTGATTTAATCTGCTGCCTAGTATTCTTAGGACCAAGTACTGTCGTCTGCTCAACACTACTGTTTGGGAAGGGGACGTAATTATATCGCAATAATACATTATTGTCGAATGATTCTATCGTCTCATCTGCATCGTTAATGTCAGGCATACTAAAAGTAGTGACCCTTGCTGATTTAATCCTTTGACGCGTAGTATTCTTATGACCAAGTACTATCGTCTGCTCATTAATTGGGAATCTGGCAGGTGTATTGCTGTCCTCAGCTAGAGGTTGGGTCGAAATTGTCTGTTCTCCAAGCGTAGTGACCCTTGCAGATTTAATCCTCTGCCGCTTAGTAATCTTAGGAGCAAGCACTGTCGTCTGACCATCGTTAATTCGTGATTGGTTGTCAGGTACATTATTGCTCCCTATTGCACTTTCAGAAAGAATTGCCTGCTTCATTCGTGCAGTAATGTCGAATGATTCTATCATATCATCGGCATCTTTAATCTCAGGCATACAAAATGTAGTGACCCTTGCTGATTTAATCCTTTGGCGCTTAGTATTCGTATGACCAAGTACTGTCTTCTGCTCACTAGTTGCATCACTAGTTGCTGACACGCTGTCGGCTACTGGATTATGCTTCGATAAATATGGGTCACGTATTGTTTGTGTAACTGGTGCAGCAATCATTGGTGATGTGACCCTCCCTGTAGCATCCTCACCCCCACACAGACTAATGTGTTCATCGCTAACTCCTGAGCAGCTGTCAGGTTCATGGTTGTCCTCAGCTACGCGGTTGTTGTCAGCTAAATGTTGAGGCGACATTGTCTGTTCTCCAAGCGTAGTCATTCTTGCTGATTTTATCCGCTGCCTAGTAGTCTTAGGAGCAAGCAATGTCGTTTGGCCATTGTCAATTCCTGACTGACTGTCGGGTTCATAGTTATTCTCGGTAAGATGTTCATGTGAAATTGTATGTTTCACTGATGCGACAGACCGCGCTGAGTTCATCCTCTCACAGTTGCCAACTACACGATTGTTCTCAGTTAGAGATTCAGATGAAAGTGCCTGCTTTATCTGGGTTGGTGCTTCTGGTAATTTTATTCTCGCTGCATCATCCATACGCGCAGTAGTATGCTCATCCTTATCCCCTGACAAGCTGTCAGGCCTAATGTTGCTATTGATATATGGATTAGATGATCTTGTCAGCATTGCTGGTATTTCCGATCGATCTGACTCACACCGTTCATATTCATATAACTTTGTAGTTCCGTGCATTTGTGTGTGTGCGTTTGGTGTTAGCAGCATCTGTGTTTCCAGCGTTGAAGGCTCATTGTCAACTATTGGGAAGCTTGAACTCGCCGAGTGGTGCTTGCCATTTGAATATAAGTCATCTTCCTCACATTTCCTTCTGTCGGGGAAATGAAACGCTATTATTATCGGAAACACTGTGTTCTGCACGCATTTCGTATTGCTGCAATGATTATCTGATTTCCTTATGATGGATGTATGAGATGTATGATAGGAGTACCCGACCCTATGTGCAGAAACCACTGTCCATATAATATGGAAATATGTTCAAAATTTTGAATCGGTGTCTGTCCCCGATAGGAATAAAAGTAAGAAAGTCTGTGGCGATGCTGGTAGGAACGGTGGCAACGGTATAGATGATGATACTGGTATGGATGCTAATTGGGATGCGGATGATGATACTGATAGGTATGCTAGTATTAATGATGGCAGAGTTGATGGTCGGGATGTTGTCAATGAAGCTACTAGATGGATGATACCTGCGTGGAGGCTTGTATAGACGATGAGAACGATCCTGACAGATATGCTGATAAATATGGCCATACGGAACAAATAACGAGTAATTAGCGAATATCATTAGCAACAAATGGCAATTATCAACAAATAAGTGATTAACGTACCGATTCATGAGAGTGAACGCGAAGCTGTTCATTGCCCTATTGATATTAGTTTCCATTGCCTCCGGCATAAGAAGCACATCGTATAGGTACGTCAAACTAAACTTGAACGGCGCTAGCAACAGCGGAATCGCATCTTCACGACTGTATAATAGATCCATGTTATAACCCAGCTGCTGCAGATACGTTTGCCACAGTTGCCTGTAATGAAACCGTAGATACGTGTGTATAAAGTCCTCTGCATGACATATATAATTAATCAACATAACATGCGTCATAACATGCTCATATCAAACCCTAACATAGATTACAGTGGTGGCTTGCTTACGTTTTTTGCGCGTCAGGTGATGCGTTTCTTGACAGTCTCTCCACCAATTCTGGTTGTCTGCCCGCGTACAATCTCAGAAGGATCCACGCTAGTAAATCAGCTCGTTTATTAGTCAGGTGGATGGCCATCGCCACCCAATCGATACAGAGCTTCTGACTAAGATCAGGCCTATCGGTCTCCTCGAGTAACACCTGCATGAACCATGACTTCACTACGCTCCTCACTAGCTGCTGCAGTATGCAGGCTTCCGCTGCTGCACATAATTCTTTTTCCGCTAGAGAATGATAAACGAGTAATCGGTATGTCTCAATTGGCGTTTTATCGTAGATAATACGCGAACTCGTCTACAACGCCTCCCAGTCGCACCCTGTCATTCAGTAATCTGCTGCCACCAGCATCGTAACCACTTATCATGTTTGAAAGGCGAGTCAAATTTCATCTATAATAGCAGTGCAGGCAAGATAACATTCATCAATGATATAATATGAAAGTAATAACTAAGACTAACCAGGGTGACTTACTAACCTCCGATCTGGCCCGGTTGTTCCCCATGATCCGTTTGCTCGCAGGCATATTCCTCCAGCGACTCACGTGTCTTTGCCCAGGTAGACCACGTTTGTGAACCGCATAGCTTATCCACCTCGTCCACGAAGCAGCTCATGACTGCTGCGCTATTGGCGAGCTCGTAGTCGAGGTCTGCGTCCGTGCTCTCCATGGTTTCGTTCGAAATCGTCTTTAGGTATTCTCTCCTTTCGATTTCCTGATTGATTTCGCGTTCGCGGTGGTACGCCTCCTCGAACAAATACCGCCAGTGCGGCTCGCTGCGCTTTCGTATAATCGGCCAGTTTGGTGCGGATGGTAATGGAAATGGAGCAGCCCTTCTAATAATTTCCACCCGGAACATCATCGGGTCTTCACAAACAGACTTCATTTCTGCCAGCGCCGCCTGCCAAGCCAACCTTTTCTTGATGTTGGTCTCATCGTCTTCGTGGAATAGTCGGTTCGACTCGACTTCACGACATTCGCTGTTTAGTCCGGTGCAGTCGACGTGAGAGAACTCTCCGTTCGATGCAAGGGAGACTACTCCGTCCCCCACCGTGAATGAACCGCAGATGAGTGTACTCTCGTTGTGATTTTTCCCTTTATCGACTTCAGCGCGAACTTCGGTAATTGTGGGCAAAGGAAAAAACAAATAGCAGACGCGCCAAATAGGCGGCTGGCGCACATAAGTCGTGCTGAATCTTTCGAGAAACTTGCCGAACTTGTCATCATCTCCCTCGTACCTGCCATACAACGACAATTTAATTAGATACGAGGACGGCGGCAAATTACATGAAACTTAAGGAGTTATAAATGATCGAAGTGATTGTGATAATGAGAGATTGGTGTGAAGTTTCATTATGGCAAACTACGGCCGAGTATGTGATCTCTTCCTTAAGTATATAATCCAAAAATAAGATTGTTTCTTTTGCCAATAACTGGACTTCTACCAACACTGATCTTCAGCTATGCTACAGCACAAAGGAGTTACAGACGAGTGTGTGTCCTACAATTATTTAGGATAAACATTTTTTATATCAAACTACTCCTTAATATGTATTGTCTGCATTAAATGTATGATTTCAATTAAAAATTTTCTTTTGGTAAATACTGTCGTGAACAATCTCAGATCTACCTCTGATATAGTATATGGAATTTAAGAAAAACTCTGCGCCTTGTAATTTTAAAGTGAAAGATAGGAATCGAGATTTCTCAAGTTAAAGTGATTACGTCACGAATTTCTAGCACCATCAAGTAGTACATTTGTGTGTTATTTGTACAAAATAAAATGTATGAAAATACAATTAGTGTTTCTGTTTACTTTTTATGCTTATATACCTTCTTTATATGCCCTAATTTGCCGGTGAAAAACAGAGAGACGCAGTATCTGAACAGTACTGGGGGAATAGTGTTTAGACAACAGAAATTACCAATCGTCTAGATATTTTGCAAATTTAACCAACGTAAAAACACATTTTTATCAGGTGAGAGTTTGAGGATATATTTAGTAACGTTAGTTCTTATTTTTAATGTAAAAAATGGCAATTTTTTTTTTCAAATTTTACCATAGAAAATTCGTGACGTAGTCCTTTAAGCTGGTTGTTATATATCCTCTCTACTCGAAATGGTTAATTTCAACAAAATGGTATTTATTTTGGCAGATACTGGGCACACAGATTCAACCATGTGCAACAGCATGTGCAAAAATCGATATACTATAATAATATCAATATATAATATTGGGCTCCTTTTAATTTTAATTATAAAAGTCATGACAACACACACGCGCACAATCACACACACTCACACAAACGCAAGCTTACACGTGCGCGCGCACACACACACGCGCGCACGACACACACACACACGCACGCACACACACACGCACACATACAACACACACGCGCGCACACCACACGCGCGCAGCGCAACACACACGCGGGTGCGCGCGCACAACACACACCACACACACACACACACACCACACACCCACACACCACACACACACACCAAACACACACACCACACACGTCACACACACACACATCACAGCACAAACACACACACACAACAACACACATACATATACACACACGCCACCGCACACACGCACACACGCACACACGGCACCTACACACACACACACACAGCACACACACACCACACACCACACACACGACGCCGCCAATAGTACCACACAGCACACACAGCAACGCACGCACAGCACACAACGCAGCCCGATCCACGCGCCGCAATCACACACACCACGCACGCACGCACCGCATACAAACCACACAGCCACACACACACAGCACAGACGCACAACACACACACACACACACACACAACACACCCACCACTACCCACGCCACCACACACACACACACACACACACCACGCACACACACACACACCACACACGCACACACACACACACCACACAACGCACACAACACACACACTCACACACGCGCGCGAACACCACACACCACACACACACCACAACACACGCACACACACACACACACACACACACACACCACACACACACACACAGTTCACACGAATCTAGTCGTGCGCATCGTAATATATTCCTCTCTACTCGAAGCGTTAATTTCAACAAAATTGTATTTATTTGGCAGATACTGGGCACTAAGTCAAAGATTTAACGTGTGCACGACGTATGTGCAAAATCGATATACTGTGAGTATATTGCGCGCTCTTTTAATATTTAATTATAAAGTCACTAGTCCACACACAGGCGCAACTATACACACGCACAGCCGCCCACACCCGCCCGGGGGGCCCGACGAAAACGCAAGCACACGCAGCACATTGCCCCACACAACACACACACCCACACACAACACGCACGACACGCAGCACAAAACCGCGCCACACACACGCGCGCACACGCAACACTGCACACGACGCGTGTACAACCGACAGACACACACACACGCACAACGCCGCGCACAAACGCACAGACACCACACACGCCACACACACGCACACCGGCGCACATCATGCACACACCCACACACACACACACGAACAAACACACACACACACACCAAACACACACACCACAAACAAATACATACACACACGCCACATCGCACACACGCACACACGCACACACCAACACACAAACCACACGACACACACGCACGCACCACCCAAACGCACGCACGCAACGCCAACACACGCCGCCGCGCGCACATAACAACACGCACGACTTCACGCACGCCACGCACGCACGCATACACACCCACACACACACACACACACACACACGCACGCACGCACCAACCACACACACACAACACACACACACACACACACACAACACGCACACACACACACACACACGCACAACACGCACGCACACACACACACACGCACGCACGCCAGACCACACACGCACGCACACACCACACACCGCACGCACACACACACACACACACACGCACACACGCACACACTACACACACACACACACAACACACGCACAACACAGCACGCCACACACACACACACGAGCGCACGCACGCCCACGCACGCAGCGCGCAAATACAACACACGCACGCAACTCACCACGCACGCACGCACGCACGCCGCAGTACAACACACGCCGCAGCACCACACACCACACAACACACACCACACACAACACACGCACAAACACACACGCAATCACACACATAACACGCACCACACACACACACACACCGCACCACACAACACACACGCACATACCACACACCACGCACACACTACACACACACCACACACACATCTGCACACACACCACCACACACACACACACACACAGTCAGCACGCCATCTGTCGCTTGCGTCGTCAATATATCCTCTCTACTCGAATGCGCTTAATTGGCAACAAAAGGTGTATTTATTAGTCAATGATTTAACGATGTGCAATCGGTATTGTGCCAAAATCGATTTTAACTGCATGATATGATTGGGCTCCTTTTATTTTAATTATAAAGTACGTCCAACACACGCGCAGCATCACACACACGCCAACAAAACGCAAGCTTACCGTGCGCGCGCAACACACACGCGGCGCGCACACAACACAACACCACGCACACAACACACGCACACCATACACACACCACGGCGCGCGCACACCACACGCGCGCAACACACCGCGGGTGCGGCGGCGCACACCACACACACCACACACGAACACACACACACCACACACACACCCACACACCACACACACACACAGCACACACACCACAAACACACACACACACTACACACAACACACACACTACATACACACACTGCCACACGCACCAGCACACACGCCACAGGCACACACCACACACACACACACACACACACACGCACGCACACGCACGGCACACACACACACACGCACGCACGACGCACGACGCCACAACGCACGCACGCGCGCACATAACACACATCGCACGCACTTTCACGCACGACGCACGGCACGCATACACAACACACGCCACCTACACACATCACAAACACGCACAACACACACAACACCAACCGCACACCACACACACAAACTAACAGTCACACGCCACCCCCTCCTTCTCTGTCTCTCTGCTCACACACAACACACAAGCAGTCACACACACCACACTCACACTACACAACCAAACACACACACCACCACACACACACGCACAACACACACACATCAACACACTAGTACACACACACACACACACAGCACACCACACACACACACCAACATTACACAACCACAACAACACGCACACACACACAACACACCACACACACACACACAGTCACCACAGCACACACACACACACACACACAGCCACACACACAACACACACACCACACACACACACCGACAAGTCACACGCAATCTGTCGTGCGGATCGTAAATATAAATTCCTCTCTACTCGAAATGGTTAATTTGCAACAAAATTGTTTTATTAGTCAACAAGATTTAACGATGTGACGGTATGTGCAAAATCGATATACTTGTGATATATTGCGGCTCCTTTAATTTTAATTATAGAAAGTCACGTCACACACAGGCGCACACTCATCACACGCCACACACACGCAAACATCACGCAAGCACATGCGCGCACACACACCACACAACACACACACACACCACACACACACACACAACACACGCACACGACGCACACAACACGCGCGCACACACACGCGCGCCACACGCAACACATGCCACACACGCACACCGTGTACCACAGCACAGACACCCACACGCACCCGCGCGCCAAACGCACTAGCACACACACCACACGCAACATCACGCTACACACGCGCACACACACACACACACACACACACCACGACACGCACACACACACACACACACACACACACACACACACACACACACACACACACACACACAGTCACACGCACGCGCACATCTGTCAGCGATCGTAAATATTTTTATAATCGTATCCGTCATATATATATATATACTGTGAATCAAATTGTATAATATATAAGATAATTCTTTTAACATACATTTCGACGTCCTCCGTCGGATCAATCGGTTTCTTCGCTTCCAAACGCCTGACCGTTCTAGACACAAGAGTATTCGTTGGCCGGCAGCCGATAGGCCTACCATAGAAACTTTTTATACGCTGCATTTTGAGTATTTTTCTCCCAAAAAACAGATTCACTATAACACTAGCTTAGCAGAGCAACAAAAGCGCGTCGTGCTGATATGATTACCTCAAGAAGAAGTGAGCGATGACGAGTAGCGTTACCATGGTAACCTCTCTGCATTGTTTGTGTTTGTGGGAAAATCTGGCATAGGCGAGCGATGGCTGATATGATTCCCTCAGCAAGAATATATATTCATATAATATATATTTATATATATATATATATATATTATTCATATATATATATATATATATAAATAATATAAATATTAATATATATATAAATATATATATATATATATATTCAGCAAGATATGATTCCCTCAGCAGAAGTGAGAGAGCGTTACCATAAACGATGACGAGTAGCGTTACCATGGTAACCTCTCTGCATTGTTTCGTGTTTGTAGAAAAATCTGGCCTGGGCCTCAGACCAATCCGTTTCACTTTTCTATTATATTGTTCTCAGGCCTGTGCGAGCGATGGCTGATTGTTTGCGATGATTGTCTTCTGATTATCCACAGGCAGCGATGAGCATGATAAAATCAATACGAACTACATAATAACGAATTTATTTGTAAATAAATAAATAAATAAATAAATAAATTTATAAATAAATAAATAAATTAATTAATTAATTAATATATCAATAACGATAAATCCCTAGGATTAGTTACTCGTGCTTATATTCTTTATGTTTTAAGTATAGATGTTCGAGGTCATAATATTTTTATTATGATGCACATTTTGATTCGGTGGCATTTTATTCACGAATTTACGCTATTATTTTATGAATTTTATATTTACGTATTTTGTTTCAATGATTACTGCACGTTTTACTGCCTGGACGTACAAGCTCATATAATTTTTACCAGTGTATCGTCATTAAATCAATATATATTTATATAGATATATAATTTATATATATATATATATATAAATTAACTAACTAACTAACTAACTAACTAACTAATTAACTAACTAACTATGTAAATAAATAAATAAATAACAAATAACATTATTATATAAGTCGCATATAATTTTCATTTTGATCCGATGGACAATATAAGTCACGGCCAGCTCACACCATTGAATAAACACAGCACTCTGTCTGCTGCTGCTAGCCTAATGGGTGCGTGTAATCTTTCTTCAGAATTATTAGGTCTATACATGTTTTCAAATAGATTTAATTAAAATAGCACTGAAACGTTCAATAAATTATTTTAGATATATTCTGCTAGTGTGCGGTAAATGTATTAGCATATTCGTCGCTCAACGGGTTACTTTATGTGTGAATCTACTACACTAGTTGACGTACCGTAGATACGGACTAATATTCTACGTTAAAACTGACTAGTTAGCTCAATGTGCTAGGTCGCTAATTATTTGGATGCAAATATAATTCAATTGATTTTGAGTTCAGTCGATCGAGTGCAGTTATACTACACGTATCGAATTATATGCTATAAATGTACAAGCATTTGTTACTATGATCCGCCAACACATGTACGAACATTATTATTTATGATCCACTCACAACAACACATCGATCAAACGCATGCGATGTATTAGATAATTCAGGTAATACATACAGCCTCTTACTATACAGCCCCCTTGCTTGAATGCAGCTCTAGGGTCCCTATATAGGGACCCTATGCAGCTCTGTCTTAGTGCGCCACCTGTGGCATCTAGCAGATAACTCTCTGAACACAACTAAGACTAAACTAAACTAAAACTAAATCGGTACACGTATGTACAAGTATAAGTTATATATTCTTTTATGCGTGTGTAATCGGTCATTCCACGGTATTTAGTATTTGTATTACGTAGCCCTTTATATGAGTGCGGAATATTTATAATAAAACCAGTAATAACAATAATAATCAGCTAACCCATTATTTCTCAGCATAGTGAACTATGAGAATTTCATCTCTTTATTGGTAATAGGTGTGTAGCTGGTAATTTTAAATACTCATAGAACAGTCAATTTCAAGCACATATTTAATGTAGAAATCAAGTTATATTTTATCAGTTAATTTGTTTATATAATTATTTTTATATTTTTACGGGCACGTTTCTGGAAAGCTACCATGCACAATCAAGTTTCTGTAAGTGCAAAGTAGTATAGTTAACATGTGTGTTTAATACGTATAGGAGTAGACTAGGATTTGCACATTTCAGGTAATTAATTTACTGTAGTTAATCATAAATCAAAAATTAAAAAAACACTTATTTCCCTAGTATGACATTTCATTTCACTGTTTGCCTAATTTTACATTTTATCGTTTTTTTAAATAGAACATTTCTATATACTATACGTATCAGTTATGATGTGCAAAACCTAAACATGGCACTCTGACACACTGAGTACCTGTTATCCACATTCACGAATCACTCGATCTAACGATCTAAGGATTTAACTGTATCATTCGCCGTAAATTCACTCCGCTAGATACGGCCAAGCCATAACACTGTTGGCACTAACCAAAACTTGAAAAGATTTGTCGATTCCAAACATAAATTCCTGGGAATCGTATCACAGCAGACGATTGTGATTACGTGATGCGAACCGTCAATACCTTCATGAGCGCTATCACCTTCACGTCGCAAATTGCCCAAAAAACATGGACATCATCTAGCTTGCCACGCTTTTATATTCATAAATAATTATTATAGGCTAAATTAATATTGATTTACAAATTACAACGTGCACGCGCGGCTGGTACGAGCAAGTAACTATAGGGAATCTAAACGCATGCAGACAGAGTGGGAAATTTTAATAACGTACGCCAATCCAAATATCATAACAAATACGGTGAGGGAAGGTAACGATGCTAGTTTACCTGTACTCGACGTAACGCGAGAAATTCCAATATTCCATACGCTGATGAAGTGGCCTGTGCTTGTAAAGTATACTCATCCGTGACTCATATATACTGAAAGTTAATGAATCACGCAAAACCAGCTTCTGGCGATTTTTGACAGGAGCAAATTCTCGCATGAGTAAAATCTAGGAGCGTGTAAATGAATGTTCTTCCGATAATGTTCAAACAATGGTTTGGTAGTTCTCGCGAAATTACGGGAGAAGTCATATAATAAAGTAAAGGTACCAGTCAGTCATCCATATTGATTTCACGGATTATTATAATAACAGCACTATGCGTCAGGCAAGGAAGCTGTGAGCTTTTCTCTGTCTATAGCCCAGAGGTTTCGCGTAGCAGAGTCAATTCGCTTTTGCGCGGACATCGCATCGACTCGCACGAGAACAGAGTCAGCATGGCTGTGCTGTCTGCAGTTATTGGACTAAATTACGCGGTTTATTTGTCCGTTTTTACGATACTCGTGCAGCTGTTTCCCGCGCGTAAGTGCGCGTGCGTTTACATGAACGCGCGCGCTCATGTACCTTATGCCTAGGGCTACAGACCGAGGGTGTTTCTTATTTATTAATTTATAAAAGCAAAAGGATTGTAATATCTTATAAACGACATATAGTTTCAGTTATATTATGAATAAATTTGTCCTAAAATGAACATCGTTCGGTTAAATAGCATTTAGGTATAAATATAATTGCGTCGTTGTAATCAAACTGTAGTCGTTAGTTTAAAAACATTTTTTAATAATATTTATAATGGTGATTAACCCGTGAAACTTTTTATGTAGCGTAATTATATCCTAAATTAACTGAAAATAACGCTAGAACCTAGAATAAACTCTCCCTTTAACTACTAAATACTAAACCAAACACTACACTACTTCAACTCTCAACCTACAACAACGTGATCGCTTCTTGCTTTATGTATGGTTCTGAATGAATTTTGATTTTAACAACAACCCGGCAAAACATTATATAGAACGAGTTTTTATTGACGACGGTTCTTTTTACCATTTCAACTACTAAATATTAAACCTAATATTACACTACTTCGACCTACAGCAACGTTACCGTTTCCTGTTTCTTGTATCATTTGCTCACTTCAACTATCCTGACGGAAATATTGCTGACCTTTGAGACGAAATTCTGCCGTTGCCTCGCTCATGCGTTGATAATTAATGAACTACATGCAGCATACTGTGAAGCAGAGAAGCCCATGAGCTGTGTTACAAAACACTTTTTGCCACCGAAACACGTAAACTGTACACAATTAAGCAGAAGAATATTTTGAATATGAGAGAAAGAAGCAGACGACACAGAAGCCTAATAGAACAAGAGATAGGTAAAGTTGAAGAAGTTGACGAAAGAAGAAGAAGAAGAAGAAGAGCAACACAACAACAATCGCAACAACAACAACAACAACACCAACAACAACAAGAACAGCAGCAACAATAACAAAATCATAATATTATATAGCTTATTATACAGTTGGCGGAAGGAAAACAACCCATTATTTGCAATCGTTGCTATTACCTTAGACTTGATCAACGGCCCGTTTTTAATACTATCAACTGCTAGGCTCTTCTCTTTAGTGGATGCTACACATGGTGTCTCTCAAACGAATTAATAATGGTATCCTTGTATTATGAACCACACATTAGTGCTTATGATATTATTGTGCAAGAGTAACACGACTTTCTGAATATGCGGGAGTAAACAAATTAGGATTAGACAAATATTGTATGGTACATATTGCGGCTAATTAACAAGAGGCTTCTAATCATACGAGGCAGTGGGACTAATTGTCTTGTATGGTTAGAAGCCCCTTGTTAATCTTACATACAACACAAACATGCTTTTATATTTTTGATAATATAAAATATATTTACCTGGACAGTCGCGCTTCCGGTTTATGAATAATAGTGACGTTACTAATTATAATCACACTTAAATGCTACGATGTCGCCTGAAGACGTGCTCATAAAATAAGTTATGACCCTCTAGCGATTCCACGTTTTTATTAAGCTGCGTTTATATCGACTGCGAGTGTGTTTAAACCAAGTGTGTTATGTGTTTTATTCTGTTGAACGTGTTGTTCAACGTTACGTAAATAATCTGACATTGTTGTACATGCCCACGTTCTGTTATACATCGCATTCCACACAGAAATTCATGAAGATGCCGAGTTTCAAAATTAATCATTGCGCCAGATATAGCAGCGGTAGTCGCAGGTGGTTTCTTAGAAACGCAACCCAGACCTTATCAGGGCATTAGTTCTGCACTGTAATGACAGTGCGTGTGCGGAGCCTCATCGAACAAGAGGCAAAAATAATAAATCGCTTGAAACATCATTGCAGTGCAAACATTGTTATCGTACGCATGCAACGAGGAGGGGCAATCTAAACCGGGGGGACTTAGGCGCCCACACATATATCAACGGCGTACAGAGGCGAACGGGAGCTGCATTGCTTGCCACGGCATCTGCATAATACTCCGAGCCATTTTAAAAGCTTCCACCTTTTAGCGTGACTAAACAGTGCCGAAAAAATGCGCCTATAACAGAGGTTTACGAGCGAGGATTTATTGAACCAGTATGTCGGAGATGACGATGGCTCTACGCACGAAACCGACAGACGAGCTTTAAGGTACACTCGCAAAGTCGCTGGCGAGCTGTGCTAAATTGCACCTACACTTCAATGCTACGCCCGACTGTTTGGGCGTGAACAGTGGGTTCTATAACACGGGGAAATAGTACGCTATCGAACAGTTGGATAGAGGGTAATAAGGGCTGTCGTCTTTGCGCGACCAACCTTTGTCGGTGTCTACGTCGCTGCACAGAGCAGAAACCGACGATGGGTAGTGTGTGTCATGCCGTGGCTGTACAGTCAACGAGGGACAGCTTTGAAACGTCGACGACGGCACTCGAATCGACCGGTGTCGGCGTATGCGTGGAAGCTAGTGACGACGTGAAGATGGACATGTTTACGTTTATAACCGCAGTGCCCTACGTGCCACAGTCGCCTCCTCGAATCATACGACAACCTTACCGGCTTCTTTTACTCGGTACGTATGCCTGGAGCTATCAATATTACTATTACCATAGTTATCATCGTGGTCGTCGTGGTCGCTCGGCGTCGTCGTCGTCGTTGCCATCCTACTTGTGCGCGCGATGTGATCAGAACTTTTGACCATGTTACATTACTTATACTTACAATTAAACGCAAATAAACAAATTCCTCGCTTAACTTTTTTATCCACCAACGAATCACACGCCTTCGCGACTAGACCGATTGATTCACCTTCAGTGTGATGTATTTAGGCTTCGTGATGTAACCCGCTTAATTATATTGGAACCAGTCTATGTAACACGAAATGACTTGAACGTTGAAACAAATCTACCGAGTGAGATACTTTCTTTTTGTGTTTTATTTATGATTTACTGAATAATTATTGCAATGCGTATGCATGCTATTTAATGTAGCAATAAAGCTGCCATGGCGACTGTATCTTAAGTACCTAAAAGCCTCCTTTGCACTTTGGCCTTTGTTTACCTGGAGCTTACATCACACTGCTGTTGCATTGGCATGCTACATAGAGAAAAACGCTCCTGTAGAAATACGGGCGGAAATCAGGTATGCACGTACACTAAATGATTATCATTTGTGTTACCTATCACATAACTCTACATCCTTGCTGTTCTCATCCATTAGGTATTAGGTATCTCAAGTATTAGGTCATCGCCTTTCTCGGCTTAAACGCATAAAAGACATCTCGCAAGGCAACAGGGAAGAGCTTGCAGGATGCTGTGTTAGGTTTATATGGTAGCCCGGCATGGGGCAGTTATATGACAGCTTAGACGGAGACGCAGTCACGCTGGTTGGATAGATCCACCGAAAAATAGAATAAGCAATGAACAATTGCTCACGGTTGACATCTCAGATGGACTATCGTGGGAATCATGCGTTTTGGATTATTTAGCAAATCGCGATATTCTGCCTACCAAGAATTGCATATTACTGACAGCCGCATTGTTAGATTAACGTAGAGGCAGAGCCATTAGAACTAGATGTATAGTACTGTGTATAGCATGTCTCAGAAGGGGTTCAGGTCGAAGTTTCTAGTTGACCAAGATAGCTCGCATTGCCCAAATTATAAATGCGGATGCTACATGGTCTGGGTCTATCCAACGACGAGCTGAACGTGGACGTAATATCGCCCAGGCAGAATTACACCAGGATGATCTCGAGCATCTTCAGCTGATCCCACCACGGCGAACCGAACAAACTGGAGATGCCCAGGCGGGCGGGTTCTAACGCACCCAAGCCGGGCATTATAGAGGAAAACTACGCTACATTAGAAACTGATGCCTCGACCCAGATACAAGATTTTGATAAAGTGCGTGATTCACACTCGCACCAGTTAACGCTCCTGCGATAGACAGGAACCAGGAGCCAGGTGCACTCGTATCTATGCTCGTATCGCCCTCTTATTCGGACAATACCGGTACGCAAAAAACATTCAATAATTTAGAGCCATTTTATATGCAAATTGTTTTAGCACATTGGGCAAACTGTAAATAGTCTTGCACGGCATGGCGGGAAAATAGGGACCCTCTCCATCCATACACCTAGCATCTTTCATGCGAAAATAATTAAATACTGATTTAATATTATTTATTATTGTCAAACTACCATGTTGTGGTCCCTATTTGGCGTTCTTTAGGAATATTTCAATATACATATCGAAATATTGGAGATTTTGGTTCGGACAAATAGGTACTTAAACAGTATTTTATTTTATTTTTTTATTTTATTTTTAAGTATTATTCTCAACATATACGATTTCGAGATTTTCTATTATTTCCTCCTGGTTTCGTAAAGAAACACACTATAACTATTGTCATGTATTGTCGTGTTCCTCCGTTGCTGCTATTGAACAAATATCTTCGTGCCAATGTAATTGACATATTTATTAGTCTAAAATGAATTACTCGGCTGCGAACTAGGGCTGTCACAGCCACCTTTCGTGATTCCCTTGGTAGCAACGCTGTTATTGGTATGTGACACAGAAAAAAAGCAGACTCTCCACAATTTTCTTCTGATTTTTACGTAACTGTAATCTTTTTTTCGTGTATTACTGTTGTAGCATTTGGCATGTATGATCTTTCTAAAAAAATTAACACATATACATGCACTATGTAATATTAAAGTCATTACAGCCAACAAGATTCCAATTACACAGTAATACGCATGTGTCTAATACTCATGCACTACAATTCTATGAACTCAATTAACTTACTCAAATATATTTACTCAATGTATTTACTCAATGAAATTCTATGAAGTTCATCTAACAAAATTGACAAATTTCCTACGCTTTTAATTGTTATTGAAAATTTAGCAGAAGAAAAATGGTCGGTCATTTTAGCTTCGCTTACCGGGGGACCTACTTTCAATGTTTGGACCATCATTATACGTAAAATATACATTCTATACAGATAATCATACCAAAGTAAGTATTTACATCAAACACGCACATACGCACTTGCTTGGTGACGGTGTTTATCAATACAACGTTACGATATCAATACGACGTTGTATGTCAATCAATACGATATGCAAATGTTAGTGACAATCTGCGTTTTCTTGCATGCCAATTACGGACTTTCGTTATCTTTTCCCGCTATCTCTACTGATTTAATATAATGCGTGTAATTGATGCATGGGTGCAAAGAAGCTATATAATTTACTCTTTTTTTCACAATAGACGTACGGAATTTTCTGGAAGCAGCGAGCAGATCGTTCATTTGATCGATTATAGTTACACAATTTGAGCCAGGAGGTGGCGCTGTATGTTTGCTATTGCGCATCCCACAGCGCTTCGCGCGCCCCACCCTGGATGTATACAGCCTGGAATGAAAACTGCACGAAAAGCATTTCATGTCGGAAACTTATCACAGATTTTAAAGGATTTTTGCGTCTAGATGAATCCGGTGTGTGTATGAAGCTGCTCCGGGTTGTGCCCATTTCCCCAGGATAGTGAAACTAGTGCTCGGCTGCTGGCGATGCTAATGAAAGTGATGGGCTGTATAGGTGGACGAGCCAGCGTCAAGGAGGCGGAGGACGAAAAATGGAAACGAGAAGCCAATAAGAAAATCGAGAAACAGTTGCAGAAGGACAAACAGCTATACAGGGCGACACATAGGTTACTTCTACTAGGTGCGTCTTCAGCCGATTCTGCATAGATTTGTTGACGTGTCAGTGATTGGAAATTATTTTGCTGGCGGAGATCTTCACGAGCGTGTTTAATTAACAATCGTATATTGTTGCCGCAGTTCCGTATTTTGTAGGCACATGATCGTGTTGAAAAGTACGGACTTGTGGTTTGAACAATCAGTGTTGCAGCCAGGAGGATTTAAAAAATTATGGTGCAGTGTTGTTTAGTTTAAATACTAATTAGTGTAATATTTACAATTCAGATGTTAATTTCTAAATTAATGGGTGTACAGTTTTCTACAGCTTACAGTTACAGTATGTACAACGTATGTAGAAAGTATTATGAGGCTCTGTAACTGATGCGAGAGATATAAATGTCGTCATACGAACAGGTTGGGTGGTGATGTAATTGCAAGCATCAGTGTAAGAGATACCCTGGATAGTCTCTGCACAAACGGTGGTAAAAATTTTTTTATCACATTTTAATCCATATATATTCCATATTCCATTAATTCCATATTCCATATTCCATATTCCATTTTATATATATTCCATATTCCATTAAATTATGGACTACATGTATCACAGATGCTCGTGGCTCATAACATTGTCCATGGGCATTGGATCTGTGCCATCAGTTTCGTAGTTGATTTGTTGATTTGCTAATGTTTACTTCTCAAACATAAAATAACGAAGTGGCTATATGCCCGGCAACCGGGCACGGTCTTCAATTTCCTAAATGCCCGGCAGTTTTTAATTTTTGGTGATTTCTCAAGTAAACAGTGTACTACGTGATCCAAAGTATTCTAAATTTGTTTAGAAATGTCAAGGGATTTTCGTTAGAGCTGTATATTCGAACTAGCCTAATTCTCCTAGCTTCGGATCACTGAGCGAACGAACTCGCAATCGACACTTGGAAAATATCCGACGGCTGCCGGGCACTGTCTTCGATTTCCTAAATGCCCGGCAGTTTTTAATTTTTGGTGATTTCTCAAGTAAACAGGAGGGAATTAAGGTGCCGACTGCCGGGAATATAGCCACAGCGTTAAAATAACTCGTTTTTCTTGGCTGAGCCGTAGTATATTGGACCTTCGCTATCGGTGACATATTCTGTTGGTTGATAAGATGATGCTTTTCTCAGCATGATTGATTGGTTGATCTGTACAGTAGTGTGAGATATATCTTGTTCCAAAAACTAGCCATCTTGAGCCATGACTTCTATGAGCCATGATTTGTATGCTGCATCTCACATGTAGTATAGAATAGGTTTTCACACACACTGTTGAAAACAATTATCATCTCACACTCCAGGTCACCCAATCGAAATGTGTTATTCTAATATCGAGTTGTCTTGAAGCGTCATATCAACTAATCATGCAGATACCTAACCCAATCCGGTGCCGGGACAAAGAGTTATACTTTGATATCCACCCGCATTGTACTTGCAGGAACACAAGATGGGTTGCTGATAAACATATCCTGAATTTTATTATTGCATTCTTATTTGGTATTGTAATGTGTCATTAATAGTAGCATTCAGGCATTGATGGTGAATACGAATTATTAAATGGATAAGGTTTCGTGCAACACTATATTAATCAGTACCTAATATTCGCCAATTCTTTTTACTGATAGTTGTAGAGCTCTAAAGAATATTACATTTTTAGGTGCTGGTGAATCGGGGAAAAGCACAATAGTAAAGCAGATGCGAATTCTTCATGTTTCTGGATTCGATGATTTGTAAGTTTTTTGTAGAACCATGAATCGTGATGTTAACTAGCATCGTTATTGCGTGTTATATGTGTGACTCTTCTATTAGTGAGTTGAAAGTGCAACTTTGAAAGTTCCCTTGCGCTGTGTGAACCTCATGAGCCATGGGTCCTCATTCAGGGGCTATAGGTTTTCATGCAGGTGTCTGGGATTCCTATCTAGGAGCCATTGGTCCTCACCGAAGAGCTTTAATTTGTTATCCCCATGAGTCAGTGGTCCTCAGCTACGAGTTACTGTCAGTCCTCATGAGTCAGGGGCGTTCACCTAGGAATTATGTCATCCCCCATGAATCAGGGGTCCTTACCTAGGAATTATGTCATCCCCTATGAATCAGGGGTCCTTACCTAGGAGTTATTGGCATCCCCCATGAATCAGGGGTCCTTACCTAGGAGTTATTGTCAGTCCCTATGAGTTAGGGGTTCTTACCTAGAACTTATTGTCATCCTCCATGAGGCAGGGGTTTTCACTTACGCGTTATTGTCAGTCCCCATGAGTCAGGGGGCCTTACCTAGAAGTGATTGTCATCCCCCATTAATCAGAGGTTTTTACCTAGGTGTTATTGCCAGTCCCCATGAGTCAGGGGGTCCTTACCTAGGAGTTATGTCATCCCCTATGAGTCAGGGGTTTTCACCTAGGAATTATTGTCAGTCCTCATGTGTCAGGGGTCCTTACCTAGGAGTTATTACACCCCCTATGAGTCAGGGGTTTTCAACTAGAAGTGATTGTCATTCCCCATGAGTCAGGGGTTTTCACCTAGGCATTATTGTCATCCCCCATGAGTCAGGGGTTTTTACCTAGGCATTATTGCCAGTCCCCACGAGTCAGGGGTCCTTATCTAGGAGTTATTTCATCCCCTAGGAGTCAGGGGTTTTTACCTAGGAGTAATTGTCATCCCCTATCAGTGTTTCCCCTGAATAGATGCGAGCGAGGCGGTCTGCGTTGCTCAAATTCTCAGCCACCACACAGAAATTTGTCCAAAACACCACCTCGCTGAAGAAAATCATTGTTCTTCCATCAGTAAACTACACTCTATTGAACTAAAATGCAAAAGTCTCATACAATGTGTTCAGAATAGCTTAGAATGCACCAAATTGCACCATTTTTTCGAAAATTTTCAGGGGGGGGGCAAGCCACCAGACCGCCCTTGCTGGGCAAGCACATGCAGTGCTCGCTTTGCTCGGACTTCGAAACGCGCAAACACATAAAAAAAAATTTACCACCTCACAAACCTTTTTGGCCTGGGGAAACACTGCCTCATGAGTCAGGGATCCTTACCTAGTTGTGTCACCTCCCGTGTCAGGGGCCTTCACCTAGGAATTATAATATTGTCATCCCCCATGAGTCAGGGGGTTTCACCTAGAAGTTATTGTCATCCCCTCAGTCAGGGGTCTTTCGCCTAGGAATTATTGTCAGTCCTCATGTGCCAGTGGCCTTTACCTAGGAGTTATTATCATCCCGTATGAATCAGGGGTTTTCACCTAGAACTTATTGTCAGTCCCCATGAGTCAGGGGTCTTCACCTAGGAATTATGGTCATCCCCATGAGTCAGGGGTCTTTGCCTAGGAATTAATGTCAGTCCTCATGTGGCAGGGGCCTTCACCTAGGAGTTATTCTCAGTCCCCATGAGTAATGGGTTTTCACCTAGAACTAGAAGTTACTGTCATCCCCACGAGTCAGGGGTCTTTGACTAGGAATTATTGTCAGTCTTCATGTGGCAGGGGCCTTCACCTAGGAGTTATTGTCAGTCCCCATGAGTCAGGGGTTTTTACTTAGAAGCATCCCCTGAGTCAGTGGGCCTTACCTAGGAGTCTGGGTTCTCTCCTAGGAGTCATGCTTTGCGCATAGAAGTCCGGAGTTTTCACCTTTAGTCTGAGGTTCTTTCCAATGAGTCGGGGTTATCAATATCAGTCCTCAGCCGTAAGTTTTGGTCTTTATCTAGGAAGGATAGTTCCTTATATAGGAAGACTGGTTCATTAAACAGGAAGCAGAGATTCTCACCAAGGAGTTGGGATCTTGACCAAAGATTCAAGGGATCGTGCTAGAGCTTCAGTTCATTCTTGGTGTCCAAGTCCCTTGTGGCAATCCACGGGTTTAGACAATGTGTTAATTTATGGATCACCTAACAATTTCCTTGGTCACTGTTGTAGGTTAATTATTAGTTTAAAAGTTGAAACATATGAACGTTATCTTTGAAACAACATTGATAATTCTAATATTTTAATTCCTATGCTTTAATTATCCATTTGTGTATAAAATTGGAGAGGTAGCAGAACTATGATATTGTAATACAGGCTTATTGTTTTTCTCACAGGGAAAAGAAAGAGAAAATACAAGACATTAAAAAGAATATTAGGGATGCTATCCTGGTATGTTTACAAATTGATGTAGAATTTATGTAGATTGTTTAATCACTGAGCACTGTGTCACAAATAGTAAGGAATGTTCCACTGAACATGTCATTAGGATTGTTCTAATGAGTACTCACGTTTATAATTTGCACACATGCTTGAAGCTACTGTGCCTCCTCTACAAATTACATATAAATATTTTATTAGGCCTTATTCTAATTTCGGGTCTATTTCTAGTTCATACCAGCTTGTAATACATGTTCACATGAAAATTTCATTGTCCAACTCGTGTTAATTCTTTTCGGATAAATTTGGGTCAATGTTAAAATATTGATATTGTTTTTCACACAAACAGGGTCTCGTCCATGGGCTGTATTACCGCGTTGACATGGTAATGGTTTGGCTCGAGCTAAATGGGCTAAATTTTGGCTCAGGCTAAATTTGTCTCGGGCCGGTTTGAGTCGGAGCGTTCACACGTATGCAAGCGAATACTGTCTATCAAATTCAAATTCAAATTCAAATACATTTTATTGCACAAATATCTCACAGATACTTTGGCAGTATGTTGCGAGATGGCGTTGTGTACGATTCAGTGTTTACATTCGTTCCGAGTTTAATTATTGTATCCATTATTGGATACTATGGTTTCATGTCTGTACAGCCGCTCGGTCCGCCGCAGAGATTTTCCCTTCCGCTCTATAACTCGACCCCTAATTGACCTAGCGTGACCAAACTTGGTCTACTTACACATCTTGGGGAGAAGGTGGACAGCGTACCAAAACCAGGTCACTGCGACCTTTATTTGACCTTTACCTTGACCTTGATCATATTTCCCTTCTGCTCTGTAACTCGGCCCCTAATTGACCTAGCGTGACCAAACTTGGTCTACTTACACATCTTGGGGATAAGGTGGGCAGCGTACCAAAACCAGGCCACTGCGACCTTTATTTGACCTTTACATTGACATTGATCATGTTTCCCTTCCACTCTATAACTTGGCCCCTAATTGACCTAGCGCTACCAAACTTGGTATACTTACACATCTTGGGGAGAAGGTGCGCACCAGGTCACTGCAACCTTTATTTGACCTTGACTTTGACCTTGATCATATTTCCCTTCCGCTCTATATCTCAGCCCCTAATTGACCTAGCACTACCAAAACCAGGTTACTACGACCTTTATTTGACCTTTACCTTGACCTTGATCATATTTCCCTTCCGCTCTATAACTCGGCCCCTAATTGACCTAGCGCTACCAAAACCAGGTCACTACGACCTTTATTTGACCTTTACCTTGACCTTGATCATATTTCCCTTCCGCTCTATAACTCGGCCCCTAATTGACCTAGTGCGACCAAACTTGGTATACTTACACATCTTGGGGAGAAGGTGTGTCGTGTACCGAAACCAGGTCACTGCAACCTTTATTTGACCTTGACCTTGACCTTCATCATATTTTCTTTCCGCTCTATAACTCGGCCCCTAATTGACCTAGTGCGACCAAACTTCGTATACTTACACATCTTGGGGAGAACACGGGGGAAACATGTAGTTGGTGACAACTGCCCTTTCTAGTCAATCTTGAAAACATGCATCCTGATCAAATTTTTCTAATTTTTATATTGTTTTGGACTTTATTTCGTTGAAGTACACATTCGATACTCGCGGCATCTACTGCTCTACCGATTTAGCTGGTGCTAAAATTTGGCTCAGGCCTGGTCAGACGTTTTTCGATAGGACCAAATTTGGTTCGTGCTAACTCGGCACGGCCCCGAAAAACCGTCCGTGTGAATGGTCGGCTCAAGCCAAATTTGGCGCGGGCCTTATTAGGCTCGGGCCAAAGACGTCCGTGTGAACGCGGCTTATATCTAGCATTTGGTCACCTCCCCCCCCCCCGTATTATCTTAGCACCAAGATCAATATCGTACAGTTAAGTTTTAATACGGAAGATGCATTCCTGAAATTCACCTTGTTAGGGGTTAAAAGAATTCATTTTTTAATTTAAACACATGTGTGATAAATTCATGCATGAGAGTGAAAAAAGATAAGGAAAATAATTACGTGTGGTAGCAATATAAAATATGCAGACCTCAGAACAAGCTACGGTAATTTTAGTTTTGTATATATTATTAAAATTGACTGCGAAATGTCTTCATGGCATAATTTAGTAAAATACAATGAAGAATCTGCAGAAATATAACCTCTGATTCTGAATGAAAAAATGTGTAGTTGTGAAACCTGTGTTCTTGAATAATGCCCACGGAATGGTGGCTTTGCTGGTTAAATTAGTTTCACTTTCTGTCACGAGCAACCATGGATTATTAAAATTTCAGAGTAATTGTGAAATCGTCCCCTTATAAGAAACTTATGCTGGGTGAAATCGTGCAAAGTGAAACCATATTTGGTGAGATCAGGGAGTCTATAATAGGCTCCCTGGTGAGACTTAACGATAATATATGAATTGTGACATACCAAAGCAATGTAACATGCTCGTGTTGCGCTAATAAACTTGCATCTTCCCTAATTGTAGGCAAACTGAATACATTTTTCAACACCTTATCCTCATTCTGTTGACATTATATAATCAGTCAATGCAGTTGGTTGCATTAAATCTCCTATCTATGAATTAGGTTATATTTTAATGTAATATTGTTATATATGTAGGACAAATATCAATAGCCACCCATTCCCAACCATACTCTGTATGCAGACAGCACATTTTCACATTACGGTCAAGAGTTAAAATCCACAACAAAAATAACATTACTATTAAATTACTAGGTGTATTTTACTTGCCACACAACAAATGGCATGACCACTTTGAGAACATAATACACACTGTACAGTGTACAGACTGAGACCCTATTAGTGCTAATTTTGGGCCTATACTTGTGTCTGTATTTTAATGTTCATATGATGTGACATTTGGGTGCATAGCTAAAAACAAGATTATTATATGCACAGAATAGGAAAAACTCATATAAATTGGCAAAAATCTGATAGTCCCATTAGTTATTTTTATCTGACCTGCATGTTCTTTTATAGTGAAGGCAGGGTCGTAGGTGGGGAGCACGGGTCAAATGGGGTAGTTGCCCCCAGACCAATGTAGGTCTATACTTTTACATGGTCAATGGCAAACTGCACGGGGTCACCCGTCTAGTACGCAAACTGCATGTGACTTTCCCCTGAATTGAGTTAACTCCACTCTGGTAGCATGTCTTTTAAAAGTACTTTTAACCTGGTCACACACAGATTAATTGACACGTTTCTAACCTCATTAGACGATGCACTTTCCCTTGCAGAATTTTGAACCGAAATTCTTTATCTGTCTTGTTGTTCTTTTCTCTCTTTACCCAATTACCTTTTCTATTAAAATGATCCTTTCCGTGTTAGTTTCATGCTGTTGTCTCATTACTGAGCCTAGTAATATGGTGTATCTAAATATTAATAGCATTGACATTCTAATATGTTCTTTTTAGCCAATTCTAGTGCTGTGCCAGATTGAAAAATGTGCACATTCTGTGATTGAATTCTCTGCCGTTTCAGACAATAACAGGAGCAATGCATACAATGAATCCACCTACAGAGTTAGCAGATCCCAGTAAACAGGACAGCTTCGACTATGTACAAGATGTTGCTAGTCAACCTGACTTCGAATATACAGATGTAAGTAGGGAAATCATCCTAATATGAGCATATTAGCTAAACCAGTTTAAATACTACATTTCTCCCGAATTCACATTGCCTTAAGTATTATGCAGTTAAAGTAAACCAGATTTATACTTAATAATAATTAATTAATAGTAAACGTTACTACAGTTTCACTGTGTGGTTATTTATCAGTAACAAAATTAGTTGGAAGGTCAAAATAGTATGGCATAAATATATATGTTGACATGAAGCAATAACATTTTGTATTCACAATTCGGTTTTCATTTGGCAATCGTTTTCAAATTGTATGGAAATATTATGTTAAAGTAGGTAATTATGGGTATTGGTTGTTTTGTAATAGAAATTATGCTGTGGCTCTAGCTAGTAGCTAGCAAGTTGTAAAGTGCACAGATACACCAAATTTATCTTTATTGTCGACCTGATGAGTGCTGACTTTCCCATATTTGCAGGAGTTCTGGTATCATACAGAGAGGTTGTGGAAGGATAAGGGTGTCCAAACATGCTACGAACGTTCCAATGAATATCAACTGATTGACTGTGCTAAATAGTAAGTTAACACTATTTTACCGTGTACATTTCACGTGTGAAAGTAGGTCACAAATACCTCGTACAGACTGCGACAATTAAATTCCACAACAAACTAGCCTGGCTCGGGCGCATGTTAAATCGATGTGTACAGACACGGAATTTTCGAACTAAACCAAGTTAGCCAGGTTAGGCTGCACATGCTCTGCTTGGCACGTCACGTCACGTAACAGCAGTCTGAGAATGACATGTTTAACATTGTACGGCAGGTTCAAAGTTTTAGTTGGCACCTGGCCCAGGTCGCACACACACTACAACTTAGCATGGGATAACTTCGTACGGGACAATTTAGCACACTTTCAAAGTGGGCCTGACTCACCACAATTTGGCAAGGGGTTAACTTAGTCCTGACTAGTGCGTATTTAATTCTGGATAGCGTGTACAATACTGCGAAAATTCAGGCCCGGACTAGTTTGATATAGGATCAAATTTGCAGTATGTACGGTGTGGAAGTGTAATGTACGCGCGACAGAATGACACTGTCGGTAGCTGATTGCGGCTGGTAGCAGCTTGATCTAATGACCTCTCTCTCCAGACTACCGCTGCTGCGTGAGCGGCGTGATACGTATAGCAGCAGAGCGGAGATCGATGTGCGTACAGCTGTTGTGAAGAAGCATGTGTGAACAGTATATTCTCTAGGTTTGGTTCAGCCACAGAGGCGTTCTCTTGGCAGCCCTATTGAGATCCATTGTATTAATATTTCGGATTTAAATGCATTGCAGGCATTACTTGGCATCGCCTATTTAATTGTCATGTAATATTTAAGCTGATTAATTCTATATAAATGTGTGCATGCGTGCGTGCGTGTGCGTGTGTGGAATTGTACACCATATTATACACTTTATTGCCTGAGACTGAATCAGGGTGCGAAATTAACGCGAGTCCGGAGTCAAACGCTCCCTGAATTACTGTCGGACTCCCTGATTTAACATATATGCAGGAGTTCGTGTGGCTCCCTGAAAATTCTGCTATACTTGTTTTGTTTCTGTTTGTATGTAGCATATTCGTTGTATTTATTTTAATTAAGAATGCGGAAGAAACACATGCTGTATTGTGCCCAAGATTTCTTGTTAGTTAAATTTTAATATTAAATCTTTAAAATAAGCACATGCATTATTGTTAATACTAATAGGTATCTTTAGTTTTGAACTTCAGACTGCAGACTCCCACATTTTGCTGCGGACTCCCTCTTTTTGAGGGCAGGGAGTGTTCAAAAGTTAATTTCTACCCCTGCTGAATCATTTAACTGTGAACGAGCGTACGAGTTCTGTAATTATGTAATAATGTAATGTCATAATATATTGAAGTATTAGTAATACTGTAATAGTATAAGTCACCACGAGCGATACACATCGTATCCTGATCGTATGGTGCTAAATTACTGCTCAGTTAATACAAACATTGAATTTTCTTGGTGTTACCTTGACACCTGTTGAGGTGTTCATTTTCCTGTACGTTTATCCCCTGGTGCGCAGATATATATTTATAAATATAGTCTGTTTGATTTGCTCCCTTCGCTATGACAGACTATGGTACTAAACTGGTACTTGGTCCAAATATGTTGTGAGTGAGTGGATGGGTAATAGCCAGATGCATATTCACTGTCTTATGATGGGTGAACTCCCAGTAACCGCTCTGCAGGGAATCACGGCAAAGGTTGATGCAATTTACAGGGGTGTGCAGTATCGATATGCGTTAGCAGCCCGCGTGTCTGTGTGTATGTATACACCTGTATGGACTGTTCTGGCAGCAACCTACTTATATGCGGACGAAGTTGTTTACTCTGGCACATGCATCAATATATGTTTCACAGGGGGTGCCGGTGAAAGCAGCCTAACGTTGGAGAGGTTCGTTGTAAAAGAAAGAGAAAAAACTGAATCGAGTGGGAGATATCTAAGACCGAACGCAGAACGTGTCTCTGCGTGGTCTGTACCTGGACACGTCTCGACATGCGTGCAGAAAACACGGGCGATATATATATATATATATATATTATATAATATATAATTTATTATATATATATATATTATACGGCGGATAACTGTAGCTGTAATCTCTCTAGTTTCCCGACGTTGTTGCGCGGTTGATCACGTGACCGTGAGTGCTCTCGCTTGTGTGTTCGAGTGGATGGTTAGAGAGCCTAAAACTGACATCGGACATCAGAGTGACACCTATTTACAAAACGCACGTTAAATAAATTCAATGTGAGACGCTATTGTCGTACAGGCTATAACACATCGAGGTACTGTACCAGTGTGTGAGTGTAGAGTGAAATCGAACGTTGTAGATGCCATGTTCAAATATCATTTCTTATTAGCTAGGCGTCATGCGCGAATTGGTAAGCGTTACTATATTGATTCGGGGAGAGCATTGCAGAAAGTGTGTTATTCATCGAATGCATTCGTCGGAAAGTGTGGGGGCGTTTAACGGACAGCCATGACTGTTTCGAGCTAATTACCTACGCAGGCTTGTGGCAGCATGTTTCATAACAAGGCGAAGGAGAAGGATATTCTGTGCTCTCGTAATAGGCGTGTAGATGTACCTATAGATGAATACGTAACAGTCACAACAGGTTAACTACGTGTCTAGTTGTCTACTATATCACGAGCAATGGGGTCATCACTATCTGTAAAGGTGTTCGAGTTTTCAAGGTTGTCGTTCTTGTGCGCAAAACCGTCCAATGGCACACAATCAACGCACATCACAAGCAATAAATAACAAATAATGCGCATGCCATGAAATTCTCACCATCTCGGTCCTGTTGTTCATTGTACTCATTCATTCGTCTTTTCCACACGGCTGTGGGGTGTAGACGGTGGAATACCCTGGCCCACTCACTCGATGAACACGTAATCTCTAGGCGGGATGTGCTAATGCAGCGCGTTTTATTGGCATTGTGAGCAAGGTAAATGTAGTAATTTATCAAATTGAAACTATTATTTACAATCGCGTAGAGTGAAATAGGCAAGATTTGGCCGCGCATGTAGAAGGTACCTCAGCAGCACAGCCGGCGCCGTAGTTATGGCTGGTGAGGGGCTGCGTGCGTGCGTGCGTGCGTGCGTTCAGGAGTCGAGAGTGTAGTAGCAAATAAGTGACTGCGTAAGAAGGGAAGCTATTCGATCGCAGAGAGTGGGGAGGACGGTTGTCGCCGCGGCGGTAAGGTCGCCGTGAATGCCCCCCCCACCATACCCACGCACAGGCACGCACACACACACACACACACGCCGCGCGAATGCACAACAGCACACACACACACACCACGCGCGCGCACACACACA